TTGTCACTGTGCAATTGTTAAATAATATAGCACGGAATCCTGTTCGCTGTATACATTCATGACCTGTCTTCCAGAAAGTTCTGTATGTGCTCATTTATTCTTGTTTGTAGTTTTAGCTATTATTTAAAGTGATGTTAAAAAAAAGTTTAATTCTGTGCTTCTCCCTTTGATTACTGCCGTAAAGTCCATTGTGGAATATTATTCGGATCATCTATACTGTTTCTCATAATACTTCATTTAATCATCTCCTTGACGATCATGATGGAAAGGGAGAAAAGGCAGAACAAATCTTAATTTCAAGAGGAAAGACATCTTGATATTATTTCAGATATTACTTCACCGAATGGAGAATGGCGAATGATCAGAATCGTGTCCAAAATCATAATACCTTTCTTTACTTCAGGGGTTTCTATCTTGTACCAATATCCTGCATGCATCGTTTTAATTGAGTCTGTAATCGAAGCAATATTACTAGCCTTGTTATGAGCTTGAGTATATTACAAACCTAGCACGCCCACAAACTCGCCCCCGGGGTCTAAGCGAATGATTGACATTGCTATATTACTAATCCTAAATTGCTAAGAGTGGAGCTTAGTTTATCGAAGCAATTAAGTTTCTATGAGAAGTAAGAATTAGTTTCAGTGACGATTTTTATATTCTGGGTACCCTGATGCATTATTTTGAGATTATCGACTGAATGCGCAGCTTTGTATGAATTGTATCAAACGATTTATATCAATCTTAATTCAATTTCAATTTATTTTATAGTTCAATCAAATAATGGCTTTATTTGTATTGAAATGCTTTGAGGTAGACATTCGCCCCTACTCGTTGGGGGAGCGGGGAGGGGGGGGGGAGAAAAACTTAAAGAGCCATTATCTGACAGATAAATAAAGATAAGAGGGGGGAACAGAGACAGAAAAAAGGGAAACGAGAAGGCAAAGTAAAACAAATGATACATGAACCATTTCTTAACCTCCCTCTCTTTGTGGTCTTGTTGGGTTTTTTTCTTCTCGCATTCAAGTATTTCAAAAACACGAATATTTCTGGCGTCAGTCCGTCAGTAACGCCCACCGGGCTGGACCAAATGCTAGGATTGCTGGTAAGAGTAGTTTAATGTATCACCTGAGTTTAGTTGATTTTCGGAAAAAATTAACCCGAGTGAAATTTCAATACCCTGTTTTATGTCCCATAGAAATCAGGTACGGATTACGTAATAAGACGTTGTCATGTTTGCACATTTCAATAGGTGACGCAAAAGGCAATTGGAATTGCTTCAAGTTTATAGTTTGAAGGTAGTTGCTATTGTGTTTCTGATAATTATACAAAGAGGAGTACAAACACATATCACATGGCCATGGTAGTAAAGAAGCATGGTGGAATCTTAACACAGTTCTAACTAATGTGAAATTACTTAATTAGGATTTTAAACAAAACTGATTATTCCCAAAACATTGGTATAATATCAGAGATAAAAAATGGTTTCACTCTACATTCTTAACAACCTACAACTTTCAAAATTATTTTTTGTGTGATTTCAATTCAATTTCAATTTCATTTTACAAATGTACAAAGAATCAAAATAAGTTTACATAAATAATACATTCTAAATTCTTCAGAGTATTGCTTTTCAAAAAGTTTTCTTACGTTATTATAAAACAAAATAAGTGAATTATTTTATATTATTTTATACATTACTAAGCAACTCACTGCAGTGGGCCATTACATTTCACGTTATTTTAATCTTCTTTCCCCTTCTTTTTGTGTGGGAGGGGGGGGGGTGGAAGAAACAGCTATGAATTAAGATGTAACCATGGTAACTTATTCGTCTTTTACTGGTCACAGTTCCCAATTAACGCTGTGCAAAGATCTAGGTTTGATTATGTGTGTTATGGGATAGAGGAGGGTGTGAGTGTATGTGTTCATAACGCTCACGGTGAATCTTTGACAAACGTACGCAGATACAATGAAATTGATTTCAACCGCAGAGGCAAAGTTGAGTAGCGCCATCTACATTTCGTCGGTTGCCGTCGACTTAAAAAGGTTTATTGTAATTCTATGGTTTTCATTTAGCTCAATATTCGCTTTTAGGTTTCTTTCCCACATTGGAAAATAGACATAGACAATGATGAGATGAAGAGGTGAAGAAAAGTGATAAGTGAGTGTATGTAATAAAGACGTACGTGTAACACGGAGGGATGTGTAGTGATATGCCAATAGAGAAAGAGTGTTAAATATAGAGACAAGATTGAGAGAGGAAGGAATGCCAGGTAAGGATATGGATCGTAGGAGGGTGTTGTAAATATGTGTGCGTGCGTGTGTGTACGTGCGTGCGCGCGCGTGTGTGTGCGTGCGTGTGTGCGTGTATGCGTGTGAGTGAGAGAGAGAGAGAGAGAGAGAGAGAGAGAGACCCACACACACACACACACTCACACACACGCAAACCAAGCGCGTAGCCAGGATTTCATTTTAGGGGGGCGGTAGTGAGCACGCGAAGCGTGCGAATCACTTAAAGAGCGCGCATAGCGCGCTCCCTAGGGGGGTGGGTGCAGGGAAGCGCGGAAACTTTGAAAGAAGACGATTCGCTGTACCTTTCTCGACTCGTAATCCTTGTCTGAATTCAGTCCACCCCTCCTGCGCATAGCGCGGAAGCTTTGAGTATTATTAGACAAAGAAGACGATTCGATGTACCTTTCTCGACCCTTAATCCTTATTTGTATTCAGTCCCCTCCCGCGCGAAGCGCAGAAGATTTGACGTTTCATTAATTTATTAGAGAAAGAAGACGATTCGATGTACCGTTCTCGACTCTTAATCCTTATCTGAATTCAGTTTCACCCCCCCCCTCCTCCTGCGCGAAGCGCGGAAGCTTTTACGTATTATTAGACAATTTAGACAATTAGACGATTCGTTGTACCTTTCCCGACCCTTAATCCTTATCCGTATTCAGTCCCCCTCTTTCGAAGCGCGGAAGCTTTGCGTTTCATTAAATTATTAGAGAAAGAAGACGATTCGTTGTTCCGTTCTCGACTCTTTAACCTTAATTTGAACTCAATTTCCCCCTTTCCGCGCGAAGCGCGGAAGCTTTGAAGTTTCATTAAATTATTAGAAAAAGAAGACGATTCGTTGTACCGTTCTCGACTCCTTTTCCCTTTTTCTTCCTACGTCCTCTTACTTTTTTCTTCTCTTTCTCTCTCTTTTTTTTTTTGGCCGGCGTTTTTTTTTTTTTTTTTGGGGGGGGGGGCGACCGCCCCCACCGCCCCCTGGCTACGCGCATGCCGCAAACGCACACAGACAGACAGATGTTCATTTTACCCAATTTTTAATGCAAACAAAATTAATCGACATGGAAATCAAAACGCATTGCCCACACATGCTATCATATTGGGGCCGTTGTCATTTTACATCTCCTTTTTTGCTGTTGCAATCTCACTACCCGTTAAATCTTGTATCATAATTTTTTTTAATATAATTTATTTGTCTACATTGTTGCACAAAATTTGCGGAGGCATGTACCAATACAGTGTAAGTCTATTGTGCGTTTCAGTGAGCCAGTCCTGAATTGACATACTTGTTAATGTTCAATTTTTAAAATATACGCCAATAGCGAGACGATGAGCAAAGCTTGCAGCCTTGGGAATTGGGAATCCTTACAAATATAACAAAAATGTTTCTGGCGATTCATGAGAACAAGGGAGAAGGACGCGGGAGAAAGGGATAGGGAAGAGAGAGAGAGAGAAAAAAAGAGGGAGAGAGGCGAGTGGGGGAGGGGGAGGGCATTGCGAGTGTGTATATAAAATATTATGCGTTTAATAGACATGTTTAATAGAGAAAGAGGGGCGAGAGAAAGAGAAACAAATGTGGAATTAACGTGTGCGTGTGCGTAAGTGTTGGTGTGGGTGTGTGTTTGAGTGTTACGAGATTGAGAGAAGGAGAGAAATGTGTGTGTGCGGGTGAAAGTGTGTGAGAGAGAATACGAGAGAGAGAGAGAGAGAGAGAGAGAAGTGGTACAGAGAAGTGGAGAGAAGGAGGTACATGTATGTGTACGTGATAGAGTAAGGAGATAATCCCCAAGAAACGAACCCTTAAAAGCACTGAAGATTGCCCTTTCTAATGGTAGACAAAGCAATCAAGAGATATATGTGAGAGCAAGGACAAGACTCTGGTTGTTATTTTCGTTTGTTTGTTATCTGTCTGTCTTGTCCATATCTTTTGCGACACACCTATCCGGTTTATTTGAATGCATATTCTGAGTAAACATCCATGGTATTCAAGGGCATTGACTTACATAGGCTATTGGAAATCTTCATTTATCCCGATAACAATAATTAGAGAGGCGGATAGTCAAAACATATTCTACTGCTTACTTTTGAAATACTGTATGTCTTTGACAAGGCATTTTATATATTACGATATGGGATATGCGTGATTCATGGCTGAAATTATATTTTACGATATTTGTTTTTTTATTATCTTTTTTTAATATATATATTATCGCCCCCTCCCCCGTGTTTATGAATTATATAGTGCCACATTTTGAAATTCTATCATTTCTTTATTATACATCAATATAAAAAAAAAACAGCTGAGGACGATAACGATTTCGGCACAAATATCATGATCAAAGAAACATTTGAAATGATGCTATACTCGCGTATATACTGGCAACACTTTTGAATAATTGGATAAGGAGTACAATTTCAGAGCATGCGGCTGCATGACACGTCATGGCGATTTAGTGCTCTCATAGGCACACATCTCCTAAGAGTTGAGCAGATAAAATCTCCAATTCCCCACGATCATTTTGCCACTATCGTTTTTCGACTACATGGGAAAAGTTTTCGTAGTTGATTTGTTGAAAGCGTAGCGAACTATTTTATGACGATGCTTTGTGATTGGCTGAGCTGATCTATTTCGTCGGTGATGGAATAACGGAACGCAGACGGTATAAAACGTGCCTCCCGTGTGCGAAATCCATCACACGGAAAAGAAATTGGTCGCAGAGCTGATCTCGAGCAAGCTACATCATGTAATCACCATTACCTTCACATCTTCAGCTCTCCTAGTGTATTCATGCACACTCGGGTAGTCAACGTGAGGCAGCATACGAACTTTACCAGTGAAATACTCAGTAGGGCTATACCATGAACCAATAGGGGACAAGTTTGACTTCCCCTTCACGCTTCCAATTGGATTTGAATCGTTTTAATTTTAAAGCGTCGGGCCGTGGCGCCTGGCTGCATACGTTCTAGAGAACTTTGTGTTTGTCAGGAGAGAACTCTACGCCTGATATGAACTTAGCAGTTGTTGGAGGGCAAACTTTCGGGGCACGTAGGACTCTATTTACCGAATGATGTCTGTTGCTGATCCCTGGGAGGGATTTGGAATCTGATCAAATGCATTCTACCGCTGTTCAATTTTGACTGACTCACTTTCACTGATAGAACACTTTTAAGCATACGACCATGGTTTAAACTGTCATCATCAGTGCGAGTTGTTTAGACTGCAACCAACCGTCTATTACTACAAGCTTGCTCTCTTTAACATTAAGTGAACCTTTCTCATGCAGTAGACCTTCAACATAATCTTCGTTTCACTCGCTCAATGCGCTTGATTGCCCGTAATAAAACGCATAAAAGGTTACCAATTAAGGTGGCCAGAAGCACTGCACTGCAAGGTACAAAAACCGCCTCCAGCCTTCCTTCTCTCTCTCTCTCTCTCTCTCTCTACAGTGGGTGGATTTAAAAGTACGTCTCTCATTCCGATTTGTTAAAATTACATTTTCGCTTATCGAACATGCTTGCACATAATGAAGCTCCTTCAATGACTTGAATCTACGCAGCGAGCATCTCCAAATCCTGCTTGATTGGTGCCATATAACCAGATTTGCTCTATTGAGGTCGTCTAATGAGCATACTATGTACACTTCTATATGCGATGATAGCTGGAAGGGGAAAGAAACTGACGTGGGTGATAAGAGCACGCCTCATGCATTTAGTATTTGACAAGATTGTAAAAAAGCTCACGGAAAGAATCGAGAATTTGTTGGATGGCTGTGATCTAACTACGTCATGTGGACTGGAATGATCGTGTCTTAGTACACCCGGGGGTAAACAGCAAGACAAGTGTGAATTTTCGCACTTTTTACCGAGATTTTTCACACACTGATGTAACATTTTGATGAGTCTCTTCCTTTTAATTTTTGGAGTGACGTGCATTGGATATCTCACCTGATACAGACAATCTGAATTATAAGATCGCGTGTAACAAAACAAAAAAACTGCTACTGTTCTTTTGAGAGTTTTGGTCTGCAACTTTTTTGTTTTAAATGGTTCAAACTGACGTTATCATAAATATTTCTCTCTTCCCGTTTACCAGATCGACCAGCTTTTAGTTACCACCGGCTTACCATCTGAAAGTGACAATAATTCATTTTTGGACACTTTTGTGATATATCTACATGAAAAAAATAACGAAGTAAGAAATACCTTGAATTTTGTTTCAGTTTTAATTGAATGAAATCGGTTATCTCAACCTATTGACATTGCGCTTTAGTTCTTCATTCAATCTAATGAGGTATTCTGGAGTAACTCCATCATTCGTGGATAAAGAAGCGGGGGCCTACTCTTCTATCGTTGGATGAAACCAAGACGACGTCAAATATTTTAACAAGGAAGGGGGTACATACTCTGACGCGATAGCCAGATTGATCCACGTCAATCTTTGTTCTGGAAAGCTGTCGTTGAGATTCAGCAGATAGAGACGCATATAGCTCCTCCTCACCATCTCATTCTAGTCACGTCATCTCATCAGGAGCGACATTAAGATCAGGAAGGTGTTGCCAGCCACGGAGTGAGTAATCGATGCCGAATGGCTTTCGAATTGAGATCTGACAGTGATTAAATATATTTTCCCCCAGAAAAATTGTTATCAGAGCAAACATGGTCGCTTTTAGCCAGACGACGCGACGGATATCTCGCCTCTGATTTGGTTGAGGAGCGTCGTGATGAGATCATTAGAGATGAAATCTTTTAATGTGGTTTAGAGACGATGAAACATGCTGTCTCAGCGACTCTAACAGCAGTTCGTCATTAGGGACTAAATTGATCGCATTATGTCAAACATCTTTCTGACCTAATTTGTGATTGCTCATTGACAACCTATAGAATGATATCCAAATAGTGGGATTTCATGCGATATTTTTAGTTCATTCGTAAAGACTCCATGCCATGATTATTCATGTAATATTCTCTAGTCCGCAAGAAGTCAGACGCCTGGCGTTGTTTGAAAGGAAATGATGTTCTGAATACTGCGTACACGTTTTTTTAGAACGCATTCCTAATTTTGGCGTGATGCTAGAAATGCTGTCAAGCTACGGAGTTGTCGTTCGGCGATAAACTATGAATTATCGAGGCGTGTGTGCTGTAACAGTGCGTTAGCATCATGATGATCATCTATAAAAGAGAGCTGAATACAAATTTTTGAAGCGATTAATTTTGCTGAGGAGAGTGAACTAGATGTATCAGAGGATTTTGTGGTCTGCAAATAAGACGATGGCAGGTACAACACCCGCGTCGTATTTCGCCGAATACGACCCTCTTTACTCCTCTGCATCGATTCTAAGTAACTATTCGGCAAATGATAACCTTTCTGGTCCTAATGTCTCGCCGCAGCCTTATCCACCGAGTGGTTACGGCTTGACTCGGATACTTATCTGCTCCTTTATGGCCTTAATAGTCATCATCCTCATCGTGATCGGTAACATTATGGTGTGTATTGCAGTCTTCAAGGAGAGATCACTCCAGGCTGTTCAGAACTGGTTCCTGGTGTCTCTGGCCGCGAGTGACCTCATGGTGGGAATCCTCATCATGCCGCTGGGTGTTGTGAATGAAATGCTTGGACATTGGATCTTTGGAAACCACGTATGTCTTCTGTGGCTTGTCCTCGATGTCTTAGCATGTACAGCTTCCATACTCAATCTATGCTTGATATCCATTGATCGTTATTGTTCTATAACAAGACCGATAAAGCACGCTGAATGGCGCCAGCCGTGTAGGATCCGTTCTATGATATTCATGGTGTGGCTGTTATCTATTCTCATCTCAGTTCCGCCGCTCTTTGGGTGGAGATCAGAAATCAAAATGGGTGACAATGGTTACTACAAATGTGTTATAAGCGAGGATATCGGGTATATTCTCTACTCAACTATGGGCTCGTTTTATATTCCTGCGTTTATCATGGTGATAGTGTATTGGAAAATTTGGTTAGCAGCAAAAAGGAGAGCGCGCTCTACTGTTCGAAAATCGAAACGCACTAATGGTAAAAACATGATAGCGTCTGAATGTATATCCGTTGATGATCGTACAAATTTTGATGGAAAAACGTACGCAATGATACACAAAGCAGATCCTGATATACAAATGGCTACTTTGCAAGTGGACCACGAGCACATAGCGAGGCCTATCCCTTCGGCTTGTGGAACGAGCAGTAGTAACCCGGACGTCGACAGTACGCATGACCGGATACCACATTCCCCGTCGGAAAACACGCTTCATCCGCCGTCGATAACGACGTCGACGTCGCTTCTCCCACCAGGGATGAGAGCAAGCGATACCCATCTCAGACCTGATACCCCTCAGATGCAGCATCGACCATCTCGCATTGATCCACACGAGATTGAGAAACAGAAACGACGACTGGCACAGAGCCGGGACCGAAGAGCCACTATAGTTCTAGGAGTCATTATGGGTACCTTCCTCGCATGTTGGTACCCGTTCTTCCAACTCTACGTCATCTCTGCTCTATGCGGTCCATCGTGTAAAATACCACGTTTGCTCTTCGATTTCTTCTTCTGGATCGGATACTGCAACAGTGCCTTGAATCCTATCATCTATACTATTTTTAACCGCGATTTTAGACGAGCTTTTAAGAAGATGCTCGGTTTTCGAAGACGTCCGAAAAAACGATGAAAACACCAAAATATTGTAGAAACACGTATGACGTAGTTTCTTTTGTAGTTCCTACACTTAGTGAGTTGCAACTCGGTATCAGTGGTGATATTCTTAACATCTTGTGTTATGTTGCTGCATGGTAATGTATCGAGGTTATTTCTGGGAACTAGTTTCACTAACTTGTGTCGGACTCCAATGAATAGATAAAGACTTTAACATCAGTGACTGAAATTTGGAGATAATAGCGAACACTATAAAGTGACCCCGAAGGACAACATCCTCGATTTGTTTTCCATTAGTGTAGCCTACTGCAGGACCACAGTCATCGTTTCTTTCGTTCATCATTTTAAGATGGACCTATGTGCTCGGTGCTGCAACCTTTTGAGGAAGCAGCAACACTTAGAAATGTTTTCTTGCAGCATTTTGTAAAATAGACTGAAGCGCTGATTTGAAAATCGACGATATCAAATGTATATTAATTTTACATACACATAGCTATATCTCTTTACGCAACACTTTTTTTAGATTGAAGAAAGCCAAAGAATGCTGGGTATTGTGATAATGAACCCAGTAAATACATGTATTCTTGTCTAGTTTATAACTGATTGCTACTGGAATATTGTGATGATTGAATTTACGGAATACGTGTAACGGTGAACCGAGATCGACTAATTCATTATTCTATACACTCTGTAAACAGTTGGTAAAATGTTAACCCAATATGCATGTTCTCTTTTCAACCAATATCATGTCAATTTTACCCAATTTTCTTTTAGAGTGTACGCTGTCAGTCATGGGTCTAGGCAGTAATTATATAATCTTTTTATAGTCGGGAGTATCTATTTATATCCTTTACCGATCCCACTATGCATATTTGCCCAATATTCAGGATATCAAGTAATGAAGATGCAAAAGGGGAAAACTCTACTGCTCTGAAAATGATGAGAGTAACAGAGCTGGTGGTTTTGTTGTGCCGTAAAACACGAAATGTATTTGATACTCTTTTTCTCAAAGTAATCAGGATACATATGGTGAAAACTTTCTTGTTTGTAAAACGATGCCACTTCTGTAGGGTTAGTTAAAAGCATGAATGCGTTATTGACGAGTAGATATAGACTTGGGGGTGAAGTAGTTCGAGAAAAAAGAAAGCCCGCCAAAACAGCCTTTAAAAAGGAAATCTATCAAACCTCTCTGAACAGCAAAATGTTCCCACTGACGAAAAAGTACAATATATTTTGATCCAAAATTTGAGGGATGAAGTCTTGAATCTCGATTCTGATGTATATTGTCATGTTTAGAATATTTGTCTATAACTATTAATCAAATGATTCTACTTATTTTTGAAGCGTTGTGTCACACTGTCACATTCAACTTAATCGTTTAACGTTTGTGTTTAAGTATACTTCATCGTTTTTTTTAAGAAAGACTTTTTAAGTGGCTAGTAATGTACATGTACGTCAGTGAAGAAAACAAAATCATTGAACTATTAATTCATCGAAAAGATGTTGAGGTTATCAAACCCAAGATAACAACATTTTGAGTGGTAAAATAAAATTGTAGTACTTTAAAGAAAAGTAATAATAAAGATACAAAATATTCAAATATGTCATTTCTTCATTGAATTGATAAGGCTGATTTAATCATGATTTAAACAAAAATAGATGAAATGAGACACTTCCTCCGCTGACCTATCAAGCCATAGACTAGTCACTGTAGAATTACAGATGAACTAAAATATGGTTTCACCAATCTTTACACCTCAGGAAGTCGCCGAAAAGACTGTTTGAAATCCCTGAACGAATCACAAAGATGTTTAAATACATCTCTCATCCATTATTTAAACATATTTGTGGCTTACACTCAGGAAATAAGATCGATTGATAAGATCGATTGATCAATCTGCATCGAAAAACAAGTCAGAAAAAAACTTAGAACCAGCGGGACTTGAACCTGCATCTACTGCTTGTCGGGCAGCGACTCTACCACCAGGCCATCACTGGCCCATGGCACAGTCACGATGAACTAGAACAAATACCTAAGCTCTCCTGATTCATTCTGACTAGGTGTAAGCCACAAATATGTTTAAATAATTGAAATTTCTCCCAGGAAGCATAACATTTATAAAAAATCTCTCATCTAATCCTCCATCATTCTCTTTTAACATGTCCCTGTACTAGATAGAAATATTTCAATTTGAACTTTATATATTACCAATTCTGTGCTGGTTGTGATTTATCACCATTTTACAGTATATACTTTGTTTGAACAATGTTGGATTTATAATTTTTCTCTCAAAAGATAATTTCACATTTTCTTCTGAACCGGGACTTTAAAACCAATATATGGAGAACAGCTGTAACACATATGTTACTATTTAGTCAATATACTCTTTCAACACGTACATGCTGATATTTCACGTTCCCTAGCAAACATAATACCTGAATGTATAATGAGGTTTTCAGGATCCAATTCCAATTGACTGAACATGACATGAAGGATTGCGTTCAACTTCAGTAGAGCCATTATATTCGTAATAAATCCATAATTATATCGCATAAAAATGAACATTTTAATATTTTACCAACCTCGAGCCCGCGTTGAATAACATGAATAATCATCATAATAACAGAGTCTTTTTTTTCTTAGGAAGAATTACGATGTGTACGCTTGCTATTTTGATGTTAACAGATATCTTTCAAAATGCAATTGCTAAATAAACTCAGTAACATTATCAACTGTTACAGTATGGGAAATTATATATTTAATGTATTTAGCTTTAATAAATCATGTAATAAACCTAAAATGTTACAATTGCAGATCGTGGAACTGAATACTAGCAACAAGAAGAAGGACTTCTGCTTGTAGATTTACAAATTATGTCTACTACTAAAGCAAATATTGGGAAAATAAGTGGTATTGTATTCGATTGAATGAGTATACTCAGGGGCATTATCAAGAGTATGAACCTATACAGTCGACATTCACAATATCAGGACTTTGAAATCCCCTGATGCATCGACCGTATTTCCATTTCAATCGTTAACAAATGCTGATTTTTGTTTTTGTCGGAAACTATCAAATCAATAATTACTGAGTAATAATTAATCATGACAGCTGTATGTCGATCAGTGGTATATTTAGAAAGGCAGTGGAATCATAATGCTCCAGCGCCACTTGGAAATGGCTCAACACACCCCCCCCCCCTTTTTATTTTTTGTTTAGAAAGAGAGTGCGTTACGCAATTGGCTGAGGTATATTGCAAGCTGTTCTTTAAAAAATGCATTGTTTATACAGGAAAGAACGCTTACCCTTTCTGACAGTATTTGTTACCAGTATAGCAATACAGATGCAATTGGAAGTAAATTCAGACTTAAAGAGAATGTGATTAAAATGCGGGTTCAGCTGGTGCACCTCTCCTCCTCTTGAAAAAAGGGGTATATTATTGCAAGGGGTAGCTTGGCCCTGTCGAACCACGTATAACACTTGCATAGGTGTAGGTCATGGTTTCAAACGTTTTCAAATATACAGACGATGTGAGAAAGGGGTGTGAAGGGCCTGGCCTGGGAGGCTTGATACCTGATAAAGGGGTGCCACTAAGTAGTTTTTATTTGAAATGTTTCCTGGCTGATAAAACTGTATTTCAACGAAAAATGTTTGAAAATCATTCTTCTCGTTGATCAATACTTCGATCAGAGAAATCCTATTTAATAAATTACGAGAACTTGTATCTATTCCGCTTTCGTTTAAAACGTTGAAAGACAAATGTGAGACAGCGTCATGCATCCCCATCATGAGTCAATATCGTGATATTTCCATTATTAGCATCAAAATATGATCCATTCTAAGATCTCCGTTTATTCAGGATTTCGTTTGATATCGCAGACCCTGATCAATGTTTAAATGCATAAGTAATGATGGGCACGAATTATATGGGTTGGCTCTTTATTTCTTACTTCAAAGGCTTGCTCGATTTCATCCCAATACTCTGCTTATCCCAAGTTTGTTCGAGTCTGATTCCAAGAGAAAATACATACAAATACAATTTATAAAAGCCCATAAGATTATTATGTTGGCTTAACGCTGGAAACAAAATTATACGTTCTAAGCACTTTTGTTTTACATCGTAACGTTCGTTTTGTATCCCTTTTTTGCATAAGTCTTCTTGTAGGATTGGTATGATTTGCTTCTCATCCAGGATAAGGGAATGCTTTTTAATTTTTAAAGATTGTTATGCGAAAAGGATTATACTCTGGTACTCTGGTACTCTCTCTCTCTCTCTCTGTCTCTCTGTCTCTCTGTCTCTCTTTCTCTCTCTATCTATCTCAAACTTATAAGCTTCATCCTTTTCCTATCCCTCGCAGTTTAGATGGAGTACATATACTTAGTTGTATCCATACGTAATGCCTCAATAATTGATTTATTCAAGTAATAACTAGATCGATTCTACTTATATTATATATGTTAATACCTTAATCATTACATATCACGTTAAACATATACAACAGATTTGTGTAAGATATGGTGATAGGGGGCAATATACATGAAGAAGGACGCCATTTCAGTGCTTCAGTGTTCAGTGTATTTGGTGGATACCCCACTGATGAAGATTGCCTAAATCCCTTGTGGCGTTTTCTGCAATATAGCGACGAATGCCACGCGAATTAGAAACAGATAATATGCACGTTTCTGGTTGTTACCTGTACAGTCTGTAATTTTATGTTTTAAATGTCAAGGTGTACAGGGCTTTGTTTCACAAAACCGTCCTACATGTAAGTACAAGTTCAACGACATCCCGTAGAAACGCGTGTTAAATTTCATAAACTCATTTTAATGGGTTATCGGTGAACTTGTACGTTCACGGTTTCGTGGAACATTGCTCAAGTATAGGAGTGGTTGTGGAATGAGAAAATGTTGCCTCCAAGTTAATTTATTAAAAATAGTACATACAATAGTTCATACATTGAACAAAAATATATAAAACCAAATATATTTTCTATTAAAAGCAAATGATTCGTACACAGAGAATATATTTACGTTATGTTGATTTGAGGAATAGAATTCTAGTTATTTCATGATATAACTTTTCTTTAAGGTTATGTGTAGAATATGAAAGAAGCAATGTAAACGGGCTTCCTATTGATGATTATGTTGAACAATTGCGCAGTATTTATTTTAAATTGTGATGAATGCGTTTCTAGGCCAATTATAACGATCTATATCAAAAGTGTAAATTGAACTGTCGGAAACGAATAATGAAATTTTATGTGCAGTAGTATTTTGATCTTCGCACAGTGCAAGATGTTATACGTTGTAAATTGAAGTCTGTTTCTTTTAGTTTTTCTCTAGATACAATAGTGTATGCCGCTAAATGTATCGACATGCCTTAGTAATCAAGATGTAATAAAGTTGGCTTAAAGATTTTCGGTTTAAGAAATTAAGCTAAGTTAGAATGGGTTAACGCCCATTTGTTACATCTCTTCGCCTCATTATTGTTAGCAACATAATCTCGATCATCGTCAATAAATCAGAGGAAGGACAAATTCAAATATAATGTATGTGAATATAACAATACAATATTCTATTGAAATTTCCCTTGCGGTTTTTGTTCCTGTCTTGATTGAGTTTCACCGCGTCTTTGAAAATACATCTGACTGTCGATGTTTGTCTAATAGTGATAACTCACAAGTTTTTTTTAAAATGTAATCCAACGCTTGATTTTGCCGTACAGCATCTGCGGAGAAACATTGAAAAGCTTCTCGTACAAGTATTCGCTTTATATATATATTTCGAGAGGAGTTCATGGCTAACACATTTATTTAAAATGAAAGGTAATGTAGTTACTTGCTATATGTCACCGATCCTAATATAACGATTGATGATAAAAAAAAAAGCATTTACATGTATGATGTAATGGTTTGTCAACCAACAAGGTAGACCGATTGCCTCAATATTTGCATAAATATTGACAGTCTAAATGTCTTTTATCAAATATGAGGTTACATTTACGTACGAAATGCACTCAGGTTTTTCCAGAAAACTTGTCAACTACATTCTGAATAAATTTTAAGAAGATTTTATGAATTCTTACTGAATTATAGTAGTTTTAGTGAATAAAGTAGATGAATTTTTTGTTTTATATCCACAAGTTAAAACGTCGACAAAGGAGTAAACGGATGAATTCTAATTTTGCTTTGTAAATTATCATGGTTTATGACGACTCAGTTTTATTAATTTGTATATGAGGGCATTAATGACGAGAGGATCAAAAGCATTTTGTTTATGAGTAATTACGACTGACTAAATAATGATTTCAACAGACCGAGTTCAGTCTGATAATGTCTAAGCTATCATTAAAAATGTCTACCAAACTCACTGTTCTCAAGATGTCGCTATTTTATAATTAGATTGTCACTACTTACGTCCGAGCTTGATTCGATAAGAACAATCTTGTTGATGTCGTCTTGTAAAGGCCATGCTCTAATCATTGGCTGCAGACATCAGGTTGGGATGTCTTCGTTTTGGAGACGGATTATATCTTTTAAAGATGTGAAAGTGGTGATTAGTCTAACATGCACGATTAGAAGGAAAGGAAGGTGGAGGCTTCCCGGACAGGTTGTTCAACTTAGAACAGCGCTTCATATAGGGGCATTCACACCTACAGACAAAAGGTGACATTAATTTTTTTTTTTTTAAATCGACTTTTTTTTGGGGGGGGGGGGGGGAGGGGTGTAGACAGAATAATTAATTCACTAAATCTTCGCGATTCGCATCGCGATCCAATTCACAATCAATCTTGCGATTTTTCTGAATAATCGCGATAGTTTGCCGGGCGCTTTGTGTGTGAATGGTATTGATAATCAATAGTCGATTTATTTAATCCTTCC